ACCCCCACAGTGTCAGGTCAGATTCCACCTTGACTTGAGGTCCATTTTGACTTTCAGATTTTTTTTTTCAGCCAACTTTGCTGTGTTACTTGGTTAAATGTAGCCTGTGTTCTCCCCCGTTTCGGTTCCGTTTCCCAAGATCCTCAGGGGTTCTTCTCTGCTACCTCTACATTATAAGGGTTCTCCCCCACCTTCACCCCTTCAGGCCCCCACCCCTACATGAGGTGCTATCTGCCTCTGACCCAGGACAGCAGGGCTTGGGAGCAGGATGTGGACCCGGCCAGCTGCCATTCATCCGGGCACAGAGCTGCCATCTGCCAAGTCTTTGCTGTCCCTCCCATGACCATCCCCTCCCAGGGCCCGTGTTGTGGGGCCGTCCTTTTGTTTACGCAGCCCCCGCCAGACCCCTTAAATTGCCGTTAATGTTTCAGCGTAACGAATTAGTCTCTCATCACGAATCAGGCTTCGAAACGAGGGAAAAAAGCCCCAGTGAGGCCATCCTCGGAAATTGGGGTCATTCTCATTTGCAAAGCGGAGGATCGGAGCCCCGTAATGCGGGCAAATTTATTCCGAGGCAGGAGCCCCGGCGTGATTAGGCCCTTTGTAATTATCGCTCCGTGAGATTCCACTCCAGCCGCCCGCCTCCCTCGTGGATTAGCAAGCGAGTCGGAAAAATACACAGGATTTAATTAGAGGCAAATTAAAATTGGTAATGAAATCGGGCCAGTTGCAAGAGGCAAGAGTTGGATGGGAGCGAGGGAGAGGGGATCTCCAGGGGCACCCGCCGCCGGCCCTGCCTGCTTTCTTCCCGTTTAGAAATGTAAAGAGACAGGGATGGGGTGAGGCGCAGGAGGCTGAAGGAGGACAGGTAACAGGGACAGGGCTGGGGCTGGTGGTAGGGGACAGAAAAACTGAGGGCAGAGACTACAGGGTGGGACTGAGGGACTTAGGGAAGGGAGGTGGGCAGATCAGGGTCCACGCCCAGGCTTCCAGAGGGAACTGGGCCCAGCACTCCCACCCAAGTGTCCTAACAACCAGGTGACCTCAATTTCTGAAGTTCCCTTGCGAGGAGGAGGTGGCAAGGTGACTTATCCTCTCTGTCTTCCTGCCTCACAGCCGTGTGAGCATGCTGTCCTTCCACGTTAGCAACTTATTCCCACCAATGTAGCTTTAAGCCTCTACTCTCTACCTCCTGTTTCCAGGAAGCTGTGTATTCTGAGCCATAGTCCAGAGCCTTGGCTCCCAGCTTCCCAGAGAGTTTGATAAAGGTAGTGAGGACCGGGAGTTATTGGCAAAACTTTTGCAAGCTTGTCAGGAGTTCTGTGTATACCTGAGGTGCCTCTTTGAGCTGCCAGGACCCAGGCTCATGGCCAGTCTCACTATCAGATGTTCGGAATGACAGCCCTGACCAGGCGTGTTTGATCAGTGAGGACTGGAAAAGTATACCATATAATCGGTATATAGCATTGTTTCAGATGGGGCAGATAGTGAAGCAGGTTGTTGTCCTGAAGAGGACAGGGAAGGGGGGCTCCTGGCAGCAGTGGGGCTGGGGAAGGTAGCTGTTACTGCCTGGGACATGAGATGTGGGACTATGGAAGGATTTTCCATGTATGTTCAACTGAGCAGAGTTGAACCCCTATTCGCTGCACCCCCAGAATGCTGTGCGCCACAACCTGAGTCTGCACAAGTGCTTTGTCCGTGTGGAGAATGTCAAAGGTGCTGTGTGGACAGTGGACGAGCGGGAATATCAGAAACGGAGACCACCAAAGATGACGGGGTATGTAGGCCCAAGCCTAGTGGGCTGGATCCAACCTGACCTGAGCCAGCTCAGCCCTGCCTTTCAAGGACACATTGTGCCCCACGTGTCACCCTGAAAGAGGAATGTAGGGTGTTAAAAGCAGAGAAGCCCAGTGCTTGGCAAGGTGTGGCTGGAATCTAGATGTGACTCACAGTATGTTCTTGTGGACACTGACATGTGTCCTTACTTCTGACTAAAAGAAGAAACAAAAGGGGGCATGGTATCAGAGAGATGGGTCCCATTAGTCACAGCCAGAATAGGGACATGGGCTGGGGTGACAGAGCTGCCATCCCACACTCCTCTCCCCTGTCATAGGATGAGCTGAGCTTGGAGACTTTGGGGTCCCAACTCTTTATTTCATAGGGAAGGAGGGAGCAGAGAGGGCACGCTGACTGGCAGGAGGCCACACAGCAACTTGGTGGCATAGCTGGGTCCAGGGGTAGGTTTCTCACATCCCGTATGTGCCCTATTATACCACACAGCACTTTAAATCAACCAGAACCTTCGTCAGACCAGCACTGACCTTGTCTATACCCCCTCAGCTAGAGGTTTCTGACTCAGGAGAGAGTGACCTGAAGGCTAAGAAAATATCTCTGAGACCCAATGTCCCTTCTCCCCAGACAACAACCTTTCCACCCAGGCTTCAGGGCAGTGGGGTGGGGTGGGAAATGTCCTAGCATGTGCCAGGAAACCAGCCAGTGGTATGTGTCGGTAGTGTCATGTCATTACCATCTTGGGCCACACTATACCTCTGCTTCCCACCTGTGCAGCCTCTGAGAGACTGCCTCGAGCCGTCGATTCCATGGCACTCTGTGGTGCTGAAGACCCTGGTTGGTGACTGTCTGAATTCATGGCTCGTCACCTATCCCTTAGTTCAGGAGCTCCAGAAAATGGACTTTGCAGATACACAGCAAATTGAAAGCTATAGATCAGCCTTTGCCAAACGGAAAATGTAGAGTCAGGCATGTCTGTGATCGCAGCACTCAGGAGGATCAGGAGTTCAAGGTCAGCCTCAGCTACGTAGCCACATAGTTAGTCCAGAGGTCAGCCTAGGCTATATGAGACCCTGTTTCAAAAAAAAAGAAAATGTAGATCATCAGAGAAACAACTGAGGGCACCTTGTGTGAAAGCAGAGTGTTGCTTTCCATCTCCGAGGCTCTGAGCAGACCACTAACCCCGCCTCAAGCTGCTGCTCCCTGATCCCTTCAGGGCTGTGTGGTAGAAGGCCTGAGTGGGTGGAGCCTTGCAAGGATCCAGCCCCTGCTGCCTCTATAGCAACTAGACAGCTCAGAGCACTGCCGTGTTGGTCCTGGCTTAGAATCAGGGGAAGGTGTGAATGAGTGAGCTGAGGTCCCTTCTCTCCCCCAGGAGCCCCACCTTGGTGAAGAACATGATCTCGGGCCTCAGTTATGGAGCACTTAACGCCAGCTACCAGGTGATTGAGCTCCGCCCTACCGTTGGCTTTGCCTACCCTATTCCCCACTCTGGGCGTCAGCCCTCTGCCCACCCCAGCTCTGTACCAGTCTGCATCTCTCAAGGCTGGGTTTGGAAAGGGTGAACAGTGCACGTGTAGACCGGCACAGCCAGTGGCATCCCATCCGGTAGCTGGGGTCTTCTGTCAAACCCTGATTGGGGGTGATAAGGCTAAGCCAGGCCAGTTTTCCAGGAAAGCTGGGAATGGAGTAGAATTCCGGCCCCGGGGAGCTGCCAGGATAGATCAGTGTGCCAACCGCATAGGGGTTCTGACGATGAGAGAGGGTCCCCAGCCCCTAACAGCCCTACCCTATGTGCTGCAGGCTGCCCTGGCAGAGAGCAGCTTCCCCCTCCTCAGCAGCCCCGGCATGCTGAATCCCGGCTCAGCCAGCAGCCTCCTGCCCCTCAACCAGGATGATGTGGGTGCCCCTGGGGAGCCACTGCCCAGCAATGGCAACAGCAGCCCCCCTCGCCTCTCTCCTCCCCAGTACAGGTGAGCACACACAAGCCTCTCAGACATGGGGAGGCGGCCCATCCATTCTACAACACCTCTACTCAATGGATAAATGACCTCTTTTCTCTTCATGGCACCTATGAGCCTCCCGTCACCTCTTCCTTCCTTGCCTCCTTCCTTCATCTTTCTGTAGTCTATCGCTCCTCCCCACTCCTGCTTCTCCCTCCTCCCCATCACTCTTCCCTACTTCTGCCTCACCTCTCCAGTCTGCCCCAACACCCTCTTCTCTTTGCACAGACCTCAGGTGACAGGGTGGGGTCCTGGGCTTCTGGATGAGTTGTGGGTAGAAAGGGTGGCCCCAGGACCCATGTGCCCATGTCACCCACATGCCCATGTCGCCCTTTCCATGCAGCCACCAGGTGCAAGTGAAAGAGGAACCTGCTGAGGCAGAGGAAGACAGGCGGCCGGGGCCTCCCGTGGGTCCCCCCAACCCCAGTGCTGTGGGGCCTTCGGAAGACAGGGACCTGGAAGAGGAGCTGCCAGGCGAGGAGCTGTCCTAAGCCGGATGGGCAGGCAGGCAGGGCAGGCCAAGACCCTGCTGCCCAGCCCCTACCCCGGCCCACCCACCCCACTCTACAGCCCCTCCAACCTCAAGGCACTTCGGGGACTCAGACCCAGGAAACCTGGGCCAGCAGCTTCCCCTGCCACCTGACTGACAGACGCCTGGGGGCAGGCATGTCCCTGCCCCCCGAGAGAACACAGAACCCCTGGTCTGGGACCCTTAGAGGACATGGAGGGCGCAGACCCTCGGAGACCCTCCCCTGTATCCCTAACCACCAGCAGCAGCGGCAGGGCCCTCCCCCCCCCAGTGCTTCCCTCCAGGGCCCCTCAGCACTGGGGAGACCCGCAGGCGGGGCTGAGCCACCCTGACACCCTGGCCCTTCAACTCCCTCTGCCCTGACTCTGGCAGTGTTTTCTGGCCAGAGGCCCTTCCTGATTTACCTTCCCTTTTGCCTTGATTTCCGAACTGTGAAGATTATTCTCCAGCCCCAGCTCCTAGCCCAGCAGGTTGGCTGGGAGTGGAAGTTGCAGACCAGCCCCTCAGCTGCTGGGGTAGAGCGAGTTCAATATGGGGTCTCTGCCCCTCTCCCCCTCACACCTGAAGACAGGACCCAAACCATGCAGGCCTCCACCCCCACCCCATTGGCTGGGTGCCTCTCCAGCACCCCAATACCAGGAAGCACTGAGGCCTACCCCCCCCCATGCTGGGTGCCTCCGTCTAGAGTGTTCTGTGCAGGTACAGGTGGTCCACTGCCACCTGCAGCTTGGAAAGCCAGGCTGGAACCAGCCCCCCCACCTGCAGGTCCCCCCACTGCAGTCCTCTCTCACCCCCCCTCACCATCTCTTCCTGTCCCACCTCCCCAGTTAAATGGATGACCAAAGACCTTTCTTATGCCGGAAGCAAAAACCAAAACTTTTTGTTGGTTTTTTTTCCTTTGTCGCCTCCCGAGCACCCTGCCCTCCCGGCCCTGCACCCCAGCCCCAGGCTGGAAGCCATCCCTCCACTTAAGTTATTGTTTTAAACCAAAGTTTACAGTGTCTGTTGGTGGCAAGACCCTCTCTTTCCCTCCTCACCCCCACCCTGAGGGTCCTGGGGGCCCTGCCCACTTCCCCTTTACTCTTTCCCTGCCTGAAGAGAGAGGAAGAGGACAGAGCCCTGCCCCCAACCCTGGGCTGCTTTCTGGGGGCTCCTCAAAGCCCTCTGTAGGACCAAGTCCCCATCATACTGGGAGTGAGGATTCTAGCAAAGGAGCTGGAAACGTTGAGACTCCACAGACCCCCTATGGGGGTCCCCAACCCAAGGCCAAGGACTCCATGTGTGGGATGCCTGGAGTACCCCGACCAGGCCCCTTCCTGAGAAAAACTCCTTGGACATTTCCCAGGCAAGCCCCACAGTTGTCCCTCCCGCACAAGCCGCCCTCCTGAGAGAAAGGGGGCCCTAGCCCTCCCCGTGTAGCCCCACCTGTGTTCCGTTTGACCAGCACAGAAATATTAAACGTCCTCTATTTACCGGGCCCTGTGTGTGTCACTGCGGTGAGGGAGAGGGCCAGGCCGCTAGAGCCTAAAGTTCATCGGGGGACAGAAGAGTCAGCTGTATTGTGGGGCTCAGGTTTGCTGTGCAGGGGTAGGCTGGCACCCACCTCCTGAGAGCCAGCCCCTGGGTTAACAGCTCAGGTTCCTGGCAGGATGTTCTCAGTCAGGGTACCAGACTCTGTCCAGGAGGGTGCTGCCCGGCTCTTTACCTTGGCCTTGGCCTCTGCCACACACCTGGTACCCATCTAAGTTAGCATGTCTCCCGGGCCCACCCAGATAGGCATGAATACTGACACTCAATGTACAGGTTGCCGAGGGGTTGCCAGCTCACCCTGTAGGACACGTGTTCCAGTCCAAGGCCAGGCATGGTGGTGCAGCACTCAGGAGGCAGAGGCAGGAGGCTCTGAGATTGAGGCCAGCCTGGTCTCCATAGCAAGTTCTGGGCCCACTAGGGCTACAGGAAGACCCTGTCCCACCCCAAAAACCAAGAGTGTTCCAGTCCATTCAGAGAGATCCTGGACCGTGAGGAGAAAAAGAATGGGAGGAGGCATTCCAAGCTGTAGGGTGTACCCATGCATGACACCCCATTTGAATCGTGCTCTCCCGAGCCCTCCTACCTGTTTGCTCCTGTGGATGTCCTTCATGGCTTCTACAGGTCCCTTTCCACACCGAGATCATCTTCCAGAGGCTGAGGGGACTGGTGGACTGGTAGGGGTGGGGGTGGAAAAAGCAAGAGAAATGAGGTCCTGACCACTTCCTGCAGTTTGCTCCAAAGGACAGAAGGACCTAGCAGCCTGCCAACCTCAGTCTGCTTGTCTTTGGCTCACTAATCCCTCAACCCAGCTCCTCTGGACACTCAGCAAAGGCTTAGATGAACTTGGGTTAGTTTATACACACACACACACTCGGTCACCCTGACACAGAGACAGCACGGCCACTTGCCCCAATCTGCCCTCCTGGCCCTCCACACAGGTAGTTGCCCTGTTGACCACCTACTCTGGAAAGTGGCTTCATCAAATCATACAATCAAATCATCCCCATGACTTCAACGCCTCTGCTGTCCCGTCTTCAGCTGGCCCCAGGAGAACCTAGGGATGGTGACAGTCAAGCACCCAGCTCCCTTATGCAGCCCCTGAAAGGAGGCCTATTCTGTAAGCTAGCCCCAGGGGCAGCCTGCTCACTCCAACTCTAAAAGGGACACATGGCACATACAGCCTCACACAAGATAGCCCTCCCAGCAATCTTCTGCTTCAATTAAAATCTCCCCTCCCCCCCCCTTTTAAAAAAAATTCCTCCACAGAGCTGGGTGTGATGGCACAGGCTGTTCATCCCAACACTTGGGAGGCAGAGGAAGGCGGGTATCTGTGAGTTCAAGGCCAGTCTGGGAGACCCTGTCTCAAAAAGACCAAAAAAAAAAAAAAAAAATCCTTCCTCAGGACTCTGACAAATGTCTTATCAGTTCATCAGTTCATTAAGATTTGCCTTGGACACTGATAAAGAATATTTTGTGCAGGGTATGGTAGTGCATCTTTTATCTCAGTATTGAGAGTTCTAGGCCAGCCTGGTCTACTCAGTGAGTTTCAGGGCTACAGTTAGACCAGGGAGACCTTGTCTCAAAAAGACCAAAAAAAAGAGAAAGTGTGTATGAGAGTCTGCATGTGTATGCCCTGCGGACAGTGCCTATGGAGACCAGAAGAGGACCTTGGATCCCCTGGAACTGGAGTTATGGTTTTGCTTGCATGGATGTTAAGTGGATCCATGTAGTGAAATGCCCACAGAGGCCAGAAGAGGGTGTTGGATCCCCTGGAACTGGGGTCACAAACCATTGTTAGCCATTATGTGAGTGTTGGGAAGCAAACCCTGGTCCTCTGCAAGAGCAGCCAGTACCCTTAACTGCTGTACTGTCTCTCCAACCTTGGTTTTAAATCAGAATGTAGCCCTGGCTGTCCTGGAACTCACTGTGGAGACCAGGATTGCCTCAAACTCACAGGCAATCCTCCTGCCTCCACCTCTTGAGTTCTAGGATTACAGATGTGTACTACCACGCCTGGCACAATACTTTTCTCACTGCCAGTACCCTTTACCCCAACGGCCCTGCCTTGCCTACAACTTTACCATCAGGAAGTTCTGCATGCTGTCTAGCTTCTCTCCTTTCTACTGTTCTTCCCAACTATTGAGGACTGGGTTTGTACAGAAGCTTGTCCTGGTCTCTGCATGTCTGCCCTTGTGGGGAAGCTGTCTTTGGAACCTGGCAGGTCCCCTTCTTTCTGCCCCTACTAGGAACTCACCACCCTAACCTGCCCGTGGCCGGCAGAGGGCGCTTTAGACAAAGCTGACCTGCTTCTCTGGACAGTGTGCCAGGCTGACAGGAGCAGAGTTCAACTCCTTGCTCACTCAGCTCAGGGCAGAAAAGAGTCTGTTTTTTATATTTGTGGAGGCTTTCTAGATTCTTCCAATTTGTGACATCCTACACAGAAGGGTGGAGAAAAGAGGAGGAGTTCAGGAACCCAAAGGCAAGAGACCTCCAAAGTTGCATACTCCAGCCACAAGGAAGGATGCAACTATTTCTAATAGTGGTAAATGTTAATATTTAGGCCAGGCATGGTGTGTAGGCCTATAATCCCAGCACTTAGAGTCAGAGGCAGGAAAATCAGGAGTTCAAATTCATTCTCCTATATATAGTGAGTACTAGGCCAGCCTGGGCAACTAGAGACACTGTCTGAAAAACAGCCCCTCAGGCCAGACATGGTAGCTCATACCTTTGATCCTAGTACTCAGAAGGCAAAGGCAGGTGATTTCTGTAAGTTTAAGGCCAGCCTGGTCTACATAGCAAGTTCTACGTCAGCTAGGGCTACAAAGTGGACAGGGTCATCTCAAAACGAAACAAAAAAATCCTCTCAAAAAAGTAGTAACATTTAATGAGTTTCTACTATGTGCTAGATGTTTCTAGAAGTTTTGTATCTCATAACTGTGTGTTAGATACTGTATCCACATTTCACAGAGGAAGAAACTGAGGCACAGTGTAATTGTATAGCAGGGCATTAAGGCATGGTGGGGGACTAGAGAGACGGCTCAGCAGTTAGGAGCACTGACTGCTCTTGCAGAGGACCCAGGTTCCATTCCCAACACCCACATGGCGGCTATGAACCATCCTTAACTCCCATTCCAGGGGAATCTGAAGCCCTCTTCTGACCTCTGCGGCATCGCATGACACGGATGCACTCACATATGTGCACGCAATACACTCGTACACATAAAATAAAAATAAATATATTTTTTAAAAAGGTATGGTGGATTGTGCCTATAATCCCAGCACTCAGGAGGCCCAGGCAGGAGGATTACCACTAAGTTGAAGGCCAACCTGGGCTACTCAGTAAATTCCTGGCCATCCAGAGCTACAGAGTGGGGGCGGCGGGGTTGGGGAAGAGGTAGAATTTGGTTTGTTCTATGGAGAAGGGGGAAGTCTGCCACCTACTGCTTCATTGGAGGTATTCTGCAGGGAAACAGGTACAAGAGTGCCACGCAGACAAGATTTAATCGGTGGCTCTCCTAGTTCCCGGGCACCTGTTCTTCTCTAAGCAGAATGAGGTAAACTGGGACTTGGAACAGTCACAAAGGACAAAGCAAGGCTGAAATGCCCTGAGAAAATGGTCTCACACAGCACCTCAGGGCAGACAAATGGTCTCTACAGCACCTCAGGGCAGGGCAGACAAAAAGGGCCCTGTCTGAAGTTGGAGTGACAGGAGCAGTCCCCATTTGCACTCATGCACTCATACACACACACACACACACACACAAGCACACACAATAAGCCAGGCATGGTGGCACACACTTTTAATCCTTGTACTCCAGAGGCAGAAGCAGGCAGATCTCTGTGAGATTGTGTCCAGCCTGGTCTACATAGTGAGTTCCAGGCCAGCTGGGGCTACAAAGACACCCTGTCTCAAAAAGACAAAAAAGTAAATAAGTAGATAAAAATAAAAAATAAATTTAAAAGATAGTTTAGAAAAAGTCTGTCTTGAGAAAAGTGGTTCCTGTGGCTGCCAGGGCTGAAAGGCCCTCTGTTTTAGCAAGCTTGGGGAATGGCCACCTCAGAGGTGGCTGAGCTAACTGGAAGTGCCAGGGTGGAGTGGGTGTGTAGCACTGGGACTCTGGTCCAGCTTCCTACCAGGGTCCCTCCTGCCCTGGGACCTGGGGTTATGTCAAACACTCAGGAGTAGAGTTGGTGGGTAGGACAGTGCCAAGGATGAATGGTCAAGAGACTCCTGCCGCCACCTGGGAGCTCTTTTGTAAGCTTCTATGACAGCTGGTAATAACAGGAAGTCTTGGGTGCTGGTCACTATGGGAAGGGGCTGGCATGTTCCCTGGGAACCA